GGTGGTAAATAGTGTTAAATGAAAATAATTAAAGAAAAAAATAACTTTACCATTGACTTTGTTTCACTTAGTATTTATAATTTTTTCAGGCACTTTGTTTGGACTAAAATAAATATATAATATTTAATATGCATGTATGGTAATAAAATTCCAATTAGTTGATTTGCACATGGGTGTGTGTTCTTACCGAGCAGGTGATGACACACACATTCTTGGGGTTCTGTTTGAGCCAGTTGTGCATATTCTTACACACAGCAAACAAGTTGTGAAGGCTTGGAGCTTGGCGCGAAGGCCAGTTGCACTCCGAGACCTGGGAAAGGTTTGATACAGGGAACCAAAGGGGACAGGAACAGAAAATAAGATTAACAGACAAGGAGAGAAAACGGCAAATGTGGTGGGGCAAAAACAGGATGGACAATTAGAAAKGTTTAGAAAAGCAACAGGAGAAATGAAAGAATTGGTGGAGAATAATAAAGGCTCTGCAGCAGCAGGACACACCTATCACCTTGATGAGTCATCCGCTTCAGATCTAACTTCCAGATTTTATCTGCCGCAGGGTGGCAGTCTTTAATTTATAAAACCATCATGTGTTTTCAMTTGAGTTTAAATCCAGCCGTGCAAAAGCCCTGAACGGCATGAGCCCAAATTAATCAATACAATCAGGAAAATGTAGATGATATGAAGTGTTCATAGTTTTTACACTTTAATTATTTCACAACCACGATATAAAGCAAATGCTGTGTAAAAACATGCAAGTCCTCATGTTTCACAACAGTGCAGCTATAGCAAAGAAAACAATGCCAAAAYAAAAGCACACATAGACTTCACCTACAGCTTCCTGAGATATGTCCACACTAACCCTGTTGGAGAATTTGGCCCCRCGGTAGTTGCGCTGCGATAGGTTGAAGACAGTGTAGTGGTCTGCATGGCGGCTGTCGAGGAAGGAGCGGATGTCYTCAACATGGTTCTGGTACCCATACTGGACCGACTCTGCTGGGTACGTCATCACTGGGAAATAAATTTTTARAAGAAAGTTAGATGTTTAAAGCTTTCTGAGATGCTATAAATTCACACACACTAGACGTATTTGAAGGTTTTACATAAAAACAGCTTTTACTACTGTAGACTATATGTGTCAAACTTAAGCCCCGAGGGCCAAATGTAGCCCGCTACAGCATTTTATGTGGCCCGCGAGAGCTTCAAAGATGTATTAATGTTTTAAAATAAGCAAATGTTGCTTTAAAGCCACCATAAACTACATCTCCCATAATGCATGTTGATCATTTTACCCATTAAAATCTCAGTTTTGCTGCATTTTTGCCRGCTACTTTTGCTCCTACTTTAAGTGGGAATTTACYACAAGACGACAGCTACTCACCACAGCTCAACAGTGAGTAAAACTCTCTTACTTTTACTTTAAATCGTATTTCTGTATTATTTATTTCACATTTAGTTCGTTGTAGACATAGWATTTTTCAATGTTTGTAAGAGGACGTGTTAAAACRCTGTTTCTAYGCAGGAAATACCACATAGAGCTCAGTTAYTGTTTGTTAGCAGTGCTCAGCCATATCAACAAGTTTCTGTTTAATCGAGGTTAAACACGAAACACTGAAATTACAACTGGTACCATAACGCTCACGTGGCCCTCTGTAGGCGTTTACACACTGCAGGGCCGGCCCCAGCCCGACTTCTAACCCAGGTTCGGCGGTTGTGCATAAGCGCAGCAGGGCCGGATCCAGCCCGAGTTCTGGAACCTGACCAGGCGAGGTTCCAATCGTGCCGGCCCACTTTGACGACTTATTTGTTTTGCTCTGACGAGTCAAAATGAGTCTGGCAAGTCATTAAAAAACATATAGATCTATGAAAAAGCAACTGCTTTCATGACGGTAGCATGTAACAAGCTAATATTGCTAGCTTACTCGTCGATGCCGTCTGCGTCTCGCTATAGCCGCTTTCTGTTGCTGTTGTATGGCCAAGTACAGCCTTCGGAAACTCTCCGCTCTTCTGTGCATCACCATTCGTCGTCTCACTCGACATTTAAGGACCATTAATGCACGCTTTTCCGGTAAACAGTTCCCACCCACTTCGAAGCGGCTCTGATAACAGTGCAAAACATCCAGGGCTGGGCAGGGCCGACCTAGGCTATGATGGTAATTCTGAAATTCAACTATGAAGAGTGGGCTAATGTTACAGCACCGCTGTCAAAAAAGCAGATTATTCCAAGTCTTCAGGTGACAAAACCTCATCTGACTTTGTCCTCTACTGACATCCTGCAGCTTCACACTCACATTCTGCAACATTGTTAACAATTCAGCTGTGAAACTGGAGGTCAGCTAAAGGTGGAGATGCCTGTGTGTATAAACTGTGCATGTGGACATAATTAGACATGACTGCCTGATGATGATGTACTTAAACCCTGTGAGTGTTTTCAGTGTGTGAGACTTTGAATCAGGCAGGTGATTCTTACTTATTCTTGTTCATTCATTTATAAAGTCTACTACTTACAGTCCTGTTCTTATTTACCTATGATTCTTGATGTAATGTAGGCAATGTCCAGTTCCCCTTTAGTGTATCTGAAACATAGAAAGAAATTCTTTATTTATGTTCAAAGCAATTACAAAACAAGTCACAGCACTATTGGCACGGTCACAGAGGATTTCAGGAAACCATTTCATTTAGAATTTTACTTGACTAATTTACAGGTTCACACATTTTCCTGGAACACATTTTTTTCAAAGGACAAGTTGTAAAGCAACAAATAGAAAAAAGAACTTCAACATAATATCAACATTATAAAATTATTGAGCATTTTTGAGAAAAAACTAAGACTATGCATGGGTATTTCTTTCCACTAAGTCAATACTCGTAATGCAAATTATGAAACAGGAAGTGACATCAAAGGGGAACTCTTTAAAAAAGAAAACTCCCTGGTTTTTGTTTATTGAAACAATATTATTTGAACTCTGACTCTTCTTAATCTCTCTGATAGAGACTCAAAATAATCTAAAGAAACATCAGATTCTTCTTTACAGTCTGTGTTGTAGCAATGCTCTGTTCACRTGCAGACATTCCCCTTTTTCATCACTTCCTGTTACTGCACATGCAAACATCTCAACAACTCTTCATCTCAGCTGCGTGATTTTTTTTTTAAATAAGTTATCTTTCCAAAAATGCATTCATATTTATTACACAAATTTGATGTCACGGGCACTTTGAAACCCCCACTTTGTGCTCCTTTCCCTCTGAAAGCTTGACACACCAAGCTACAGATTTTTTTTCTTAAGACAAAGCTTCTCCACCTTCTTTAAGCCTATTAATGTCTGCTGGTGATTTGACAGTCTGTAAGTGTGCGATCACCACAAAGGCTAACAGACACTAGACCAAACCCACAAGCTCATTCCACCCAACCAACACGGAGATCCGTTATTAAGTTTTGCACAATCYAGGACACGATTTCACTGCAGCCCAGCTCAGAAAAGGTTAAAAAGAGCAATGCTTTAGAAACCGCAGAGCTCATTCACAGCATGTGATCACATCCATTTCAACAGCTGCGAGAGGAGAAGCTAAACAATCMATTTTTATGCTTTTGGACATTAAAGTCATAGATTTCACACATTCAACACAAAAGGCCAAAATCAGTCATCGTGAAATAAAATCATTCAAAAATGTAGATCAGTGCAAAGGTTTCAGCACCCAAAAGTCTGATCCCCCTCTCACTGTCAGAGCGCCAGCTGCTTCATATCGAAGTGATTGGACTCAGCAGGCTTGGAGGTGAAGCTTCTGAAGGGAAGTTTTCTTTTTTTCAGCCTTACTAAGCTGTTCAGGATCAAAGTAATCCCAGATGTGAATCCTTCAAACGAGCAGCCTCGCCTTTCATGGCCATATTTAGTCTCTCCATATGGACATTTTGGCTACGACACTCACACAAACAGTAGTGTAATACCACTGACGCATGGATATTTTGGAAATGGATAGGTTTGTATTAAGATTTCCTTTGGTCATTTTAAATTACAAAACTTCACTTTGTTTTTGTAACTAAAAACAGCAGACAAAAGCACTTCTGTGGGGCTAAAATCTACACTTTATGTTGACTTGACTCATATAAATCCCACAGAGTAGACTAATCAGACACCCCTGTGTGCTCATCAGGCATACATTATAAAGATGAAGGAGACTTAGCCCTGCTTATGTAATCCTGCACTCAGCAGGAAGTCTGTCAAGAGCTATGAGACGATTAAACAAGCCTCAGAATTTCCTTAAAACTTTGAACTGTAAATACTACAATAAGTGGGTGTCCAATCCTGCTCCTCAAGGGCTGCTTTTTCCAATCATTGAATCAGGTGTGTTGAAGTGGGGATACAGGGAAAAACATGTGATAGCAGCCCCTGATTGGATACGTCGGYAATAGACTTGGAGAGAGAAGCATCATGGAGCTTTATATTTCTGTTTGCTGACTAGAAAATAAAACATTGGAGCATAAAACTAGTTAAACTACACACAGACAAACAGTGTAAGTAGGTTAGATCCCGATGGATATAAGATCTGGGCTCTCTGTTTTCTCTTCATCTTCCTCTCTAAAATCTTCTCTCCTTGTTTGAGGAAAATCATTTGCATTTCTGCTTCATTAATAATAGGTTAACAAGAAAAGGCCAGATGATGTTTGCACTAAAAATATCTGCTGTTGGAGCTTGATTTAGTTTATTACCTCCGCCAAGGGCGAGGTAATGTTTTCKGTCGCGTATATCTGTCTGTCTGTCGTTCTGTCTGTGGACAACATTACTCAAAAACTTGTGGACGGATTGTCATGACATTTTTTACCACATGTGGGTACTGGGCCAAGGAACAAACCTTTAAATTTTGGTGATGTTCTGGATCACGATGCGGATACAGGAATTTTTTTTCTTTTAACACTCTGAGATCAGCAAAGCTGTGATGCTTTCACAGGGCTTCAGTAAAAAACAGTGAGCTGGATTGGACAGTAAGGACTTCAAACTTTATAAAAGTAATGTTAAAACCACATTTAATGATGAATAATTTTTGCCATAATRTGCACATTTACAGACCGTTTTGTGACCAGGAAGTGCGTGACTGCACCATGAAAACTATTTTTCTCATTTCCTCAAACACAACACATTTCCGAAACAACCAATCAGAACAGTTTCTCTCTACTAGGCTTGTAAACAGAGAGCTGCCGGGCCTCAAAGTTTGGAGACGGGGGGAGASAGGAAAGAGAGTCAAACCATTACAAACTCATACAAGGGGATAAAACAGACGTTTTACATGGTGAAACGTGACTGATGAAAACTTAGGAGTTTAATCCCACACCAGTTTGATGATGAATAACGTCGGGTGACGAGTCTGACTTTTTTTTTCACATTGGACTCCACCGAGAAGAAATCCCGTGCATACTGCCTGCTTAAATGTTCGCTACGTCAGAACTTATTCGGCAAATGTGTTTCCATCTCTGCTTTTGCGCATTAACTCTTACAGGATGGGGGAAATTGGTCGTGGCGGAGGTTTGCACTCTCCGAGTGCTTCTAGTTTTACTTGCTTTCCTAAATAATAGTTTTGTTAACTCTCACCATCTATTATCCCTGACTTCCTCAGCTGGTTTCCACAGTGTCCCAGCTTCCATCACTCCTATTATCCAAACTCACACATGCCCAAAAACYCCCCACCAACGCACACACCACTGCAACACATGGCCCAAATGAAATGAATCCRTTCGAATCAGCAATGCACAGGCCATTTGGCACAATGGACTCGACATGAATAATTCAGCCAGAAGCGACAGCAAAGAGAAGGAAGGAAAGGTGGAGCTGAGATGAAAACAAGAGGGGAGAGGGAGGAAGAGGAGGAGAGACACACGAGAGAAGAATAAACACAATCAAACTTGCTGAGTCAAGTCCGAGAAGAGCTGTGTGTGTGTTTCTGAATATACAGAGAGCCCTTTGTGCTGCCCCGTGCAGATGCCTGCACACAAACAGACTGAGACAACCGAGCCATGTCAGCCTCCCCCTTCCTCCCTCCATCCACACGGAGCAGCTTCACCGTTAAAGGAACCACCRTCCAAACAACATGCATTTATCTGATGAATACTTGAATGAGCAGCTAGGTGGCCAACATGTGACTTGGGTTTCTCAAATTCATTTTTGTTTTTTGTTTTTTCATTCAACATCATATTTTGGAGTTTCACAAGACATCAWAGCTGATGAAATACAAAAAAAGCAAGTCGGTGCAGAGTCTGCACTAAATGTTTTTATGTCAGATTATATGAAATATGTGGTATTCCAGACGTGATGAAAAGATGCTTAGGAAAGTTAGTTTCCACATGTTTATTGTAATTATTTCTATCATGTTTTTTCTTTGTCTCTTCCAGAAGAAGGTGCACCTGGACCAGTCCTGGACCAGT